ATATACATTTTGGTAAATGGCATACACTCAATGCAGAAGTATAAATTGGGCTTTATACTGATGAGCCAGTCACAGGTGAAGCTAATATAAAAAAAATTAGCAAAGAATTAGCTTTAGTTTTAATGAATGTACTGGATGCATGACAATCGACAAAACTGTTAAAGTTGAAGTGTCAAAAAACAATGAATTGTTGTGGTAAGGTGACTGGATCATAACATCTCTGAAATGGCAAATCTTATGGATTGGATGACAATGGTCATTCAGTCATCAGGGTGACAAAGACCATCCTATCTGGTTTAAGCACACAGAAAGCCTACATGGTTGTCCTGGTGGGAGACCTTCTGGAAAAACAATTGTGGGTCATCCGATAGTGGTCTTTTCTAGCAATATATATTTCTATAATTGACTCTGGTAGATATCATGGTTTGAATTTAAGGTGTAGTCCTGCCCTCAAAATTCCATTGATCTCTGTGTAACTGACCATCTCTGGGATGTGCTGGACCAACAAATCCATTTTATGGTGTTGCCACTTTGCAGCCTATAGGACTTGAAAGATCTGCTGTTAATGTCTTGGCTCCATGGCAGCACATGGGGAACCAACAGCATAGTAGTTGTTCATAATATTTTGGCTCATCTGTGTTTGAGCCTTAATATCTCTAACCCAGTTTCACCAAACAGTGAGAACATTGAAAGCATCTTTAGGATTATAGACCGCTGGTGAAGCTAATATCATAAATAATGTCTGGGTTAGGTTATTTTACAGGAAGCAAAGAATTAGCTTTTAATGAATGTACTGGATGCATGACAATCAACAAAATTGTTAAAGTTGAAGTGTCAAAAAACATTGAATTGTTGTGGTAAGGTGACTGGGTCATACATCTCTGAAATGGCGAATCTTATGGATTGGATGACAATGGTCATTCACGCATTAGGGTGACAAAGACCATGCCGTCTGGTTTGAGCAAACAGAAAGCCTACATCGATGTCCTGTTGGGAGAACTGGGAAAACAATTGTGTGCCAAAGGAGAGTGGTCTCTTCTAGCAGGATAATAGACTCTGGTACTCATCATGGTTTGAAGAACATGATGAAGAATTCAAGGTGTAGTCCTGCCCTCAAATTCCCAGAGATCTCGGTATAAATGTCCATCTCTGGGATGTGCTGGACCAACAAATCCATTTCATGGTGGTTCCATTTTGCTACCTATAGGATTTGAGAAATCTGCTGGTAATTTATTGGTGCTTGATACCACAGGGCAACTTTAGGGTACTTCTAGAGTCCACGGCTTGGCAGCACATGGAGAACCAACAGCATAGTAGCCAGTTGTTTATAATAACTGGCTTATCAGTGTATTAGCCTGCATATTGCTTACTCTATTTCACCAAACAGTGAGTAATTTAAAAAGCCTCTTTATGATTGTTTATACCTTAAAAATGACCCATTATGTCTGGTGAATTTTATGAGTATTAATGAAAGTGTCTCTTTTAGGCACGGGAGGAAGTATCAGCCCATCAGCAGTGTCTTCTCGATCTCAGCGGTCTATGGAGAGCTTTTTTGGTTCCAAGTGAGTGCTAACTTACAGTACCTAAGTGTTAAACTAATGACTTACAAGTTCTCATATACTACCACACTGAATTTCTGTTCTTCAGGTTCAATCTGGGAAGACTAAAGGGCAATAATGGAAAACAAGCTCCCCTTAAACCTCACTGTCTCTCTGCAGAGACTGAGAGACACTTAGACACCGACATGCCGGACTACTTGCCATTGGTTGGTCGAATTTTGAATTTGCATACTGATTTACACATAAATATCACAAGATAAAGTCAGTGCCACTCACTTTGTTTCCTGACAGGTGCGTCTGCAGCTTGCATCAGGTGCATTTCTGCTGTCCGAATCATATTCTGAGTGCATCCAGATTCCACTGGACCGCCTAAAACGAGCATCCCCATACCTGAGCCACCGCAGCAGTCTGAGCCCACCTTTTCGTTGTACCTCACCACCTGCCTCCACTTCCGTGAGGCACATGCATAACTCATGGTCTGACCCCTTGGAAGAAGAGTCTCCGAAATTGATGGGTGGAGCTCCGCAGGCTGACAGTGGGCGGGGCTCTGAGACTGACATGTTTGAAGGTGCTCCACTGGATCCCACAGAAGCTCATAGGTATGAACAGGCCCAGATGGACATAGAGAGCTCAAGCTGGGCCACAGCGGTGGCTCTGGCTTGGCTTGAGCACCGCTGTGCGGGATTTTTTGTGGAGTGGGAACTAGTGGCAGCCAAGGCAGATTTCTGGCTGAAGAGTCAATCTCTACCTGAGGGTGTCGACTTGGCAGGTTTGAGGGCAGCAGCCAGGCAGCTCTTCCTGCTTTTGCGTCACTGGGATGAAAATATCAAACTCAATGTGCTCTGCTACAACCCCAATAACATGTGAGGAACTGCTAGTAAAGCCTAAAAGATGAAGTTCATACATAAGTCTTTGATTACACTCAAGGAAACGCATCCAGTTTGACTCTGTTTAACTTCTTTATAGTGAACACTAAACAGAATTCAAGACAAGTAGGTCTAATCCTGCTCCTGTAGGGTCAACATCGTAAAGCAGAGATGTCCAAACTCAGTTCTTGCGTCTTAAATTAAGATCGCTAAACTTAGCAGGTCAGCTGCAGGTTTGGACAACACAGAAATTAGGGTGTCTCAATCAGCTTCCTTGTTCAGTAGTCAGAGCACTGTCTCAAACGCAAAATTACCAGTTCACTAAAATATTTGTGCCCTAAAAAGTCCCACAAGGCCCTTTGAAAATGAAAGCGCATTGATGTTCACTATGCTCCCTTAACAAAAGTTCTGAAGCATGAATCAGGTGAATGAAATCATCGACATAATAATCTCAAGAAGTTTTTCTAAGGGCATCCTCACACTATGTACAGTTGCCTTAAACCGGGCCGAAGCCTGTTTGTCCCCCTCCCATCTCCCCCAACGGCCCGCACTCACATTGCATTCAAGGCTGAGCAAGCTTACATCATCTATGATGCGCTGTTCAGTAAGAAGCGCTCTCACTCAGCACAGTGATTTCTTTAGTTATATCGTTTTAGTCGTTTGGGATGCAGTCAAATATTTCGCTGAACAGATCAGTCACTTTTGACGCTCATAAACAATCATAAAAACCTCGTGCTACAAGAATTAGGAGGTTTGCTAAAGGTGCAGCTGTCGTGCAGTGAGAGGTTTGCGTTCACTGAACAGTAAGAATGAATAATATACCCAGATGAAATGGTCCCTTAAAAGTCACGTCTCGTCTCGTCTTTAGTTTCAGGCTCAGGTGCGATTTGCACTCACACTACAAGCCTACCACGCTCTGGCACACCTCTTCCAACCGGCCAGGGCTAGCTAAGTTAACCACGACTGAGCCTGATTCAGAGCACTCACACTTCTCAAACTATCCGGGAAACAGGCCTGGACATGGTTCGGATAGCAAAGCGTGGGTGTGCCCTAAAAAGCACCTGTTAGTTATTCATATTTAACATAAACGAATGTAGCCAGAAGGGTTAAGAAAAACCCAAGAAGGGTATTTGAAACAACCAAATTAACTCAATAAAACCTTTATAAACATCATAATAAACTATGAAAAACAACTGTTCCGTTGTTGTTTATAAATTCCAGTTTTGATATACAATGATGACGTCCTCATGGCACACCCAGTGTCTCAATGTGTAGTGAACTAAGCTCATCATTGTCATTAGCAGTGCCTGAATTTTTTTTACTAGGAAGCTGATTGAGACGCACCCTATAATTTCCTTCAAAACAGATTGGACATAACGCTGGATTGTGTGCTGGGGGTTTCAGTTTCTTTTTCTCAGACCACAATACTGTACAAGCTTTGGCTTAATCTATGCCTTCAGTCTAATTATGCAGTAGACTCGAGTTCATTATTATCCACTGCAAGTCTGACAGCACTTTATCTTAGCAATAGAAAAATGGCTAGTATTGGATGTTTCATGAAATCAATCACCAATATACAGTAGGCCAAAATGACACTTCCTTGCCTTAATATACACTGCTGTTCAAATGTTTATTGTCAGAAAGATTTTTAACATGATTTTTCAGCAGAGCTACATCAGAAAAAAAAAAATTTAACCCGAGCAAAAAAAAAAATAGCTTGAATTAATTCAGTGGTTAGCACTGTCGCCTCACAGCAAGAAGGTCGCTAATTGAAGTCCCGGCTGGGCCAGTGTGTGGAGTTTGCATGTTCACATGGGTTACCTCCAGGTGTTCCGGTTTACCTCACAGTCCAAAGACATGCGGTACAGGTGAACTGAATAAACTTAATTAGCCATAGTGTACGAGTGTGTGACTGTGAGCATGTATGGGTGTTTCCCAGTACTGGGTTACAGCTAGAAGGGCACCTGTGTGTAAAACATATGCTAGAATACTTCCATATGCTGGAATAAATATAAGTATAAAATCTTAAAATTAAAACTAGTTGCGTTAAAGAGTAAAAGTGCTTCTTAAACATTATTTTACTTTGTTTTTTTATTTAATAAATCCAGCCTTTGTGAGCATAAAATTCTAAATATTTACAAATCTTTCCTACCCAGATGTTTAAACAGCATTGTGTCCAAAAACTGCTTGATTTTGATTTAACTATTACACAAGTTTAGACTAAAATAGTTTAGACTAATCTGGACTTCATTTCATATTTTTCATGCTACTTTGACTGTGTCTGTAATGCAGTTTTGGAGCTTTTAACCATTAAAACTTTTTTTTGGAAAACTGCATTTTAAGTTTGCAAAATTATACGTGTGTCTGTGACAATGACAACTTAATTTTTTTTGCCACCTTTAGATATTCTAAATTTAGACATTCAGCTTGTTTTTATATATATATATATATATATATATATATATATATATATATTGCTTAATTGCAAGCATTTTCAGGTACTACAAACTACCACGGGCTAATTTTTTTCATGTGCAAAATCAAAAGATCATGTGGTTGATTAAAGATACATGAATGTAATGAAATTGACTTTATTTTCAGTCATTTACAAATCTATACAATAAACTGCTCTCAATGATTCCAAATGATGCTTCTCCAGGATTTATCAATAACACTAACATGCCCTACACTTTCAACCTGGTTTCTTTAATCTCTCGTACCTCTAAGCCTCTCAAAAAAAAAAAAAAAAAACACATAGACTGCAGTTGCATTATGATTAAAGATTAAGCAAATGCATTTCGTACAAAAAAGGAAAGAAGAAAAAAAAAGAAACAAACACTTTTACTGTAATCTCCCCTTCCCTACTGCATGTCGATGGTTGCCTTAAACTAAAAACTATGGGGAAAGCAGATCCATGATTTATGCTGTTCCTTTGTGCTCTATAAAGCACATGTAACTACACTGTAAAAAAAATTTAATAAACAGTTTTCCTGTTTTTTTTGTTTCTCTGGACAGAGAAGTCAGATGTATTCAAGTGTATTTTACGTATTTAGTTTTTTTCCTAATTACTGATGACATTTCTTTTAAATTACAGAAGCATAAAATGACAACAGATTAAAATAACAGAATTTCATATTCATTTCTACATAATACCAATGTTTGAACTACACAAATAAATAAATTTAAAAAAAAAACAATATTTGGCAGAATAATCATGATTTAATTTTAATTTGCAAAGTTTTTTTGGTCATTTTCTGCTTCTATATAAAAACCTCACAATTACAGTCACTGGTCTATATACTGTAGAGAGTCATTCTATAAAGATCAGGCTATCACTTTATTTTGATGGCCACTTTAACGCATTTTCTTGAATGCAAGTAACATTGCATCTACAGGCCAACTAATTCTCATTAGATCATAAGTAGACTGTTCAATTGGGGTTAGGGTTAGTGTAAGCTGACATGCATTTGCAAAGTTTTTTACAGTCAGTCTGTTGAAAGGGCAGTATCAGCAGATATTAAGCAAGCAGACAGTCTACTAATAATCCAATGAGAATTCGTTGGCATGTAGTGCAACTTTTAGTCAATAAAATGTACAATAGGGAGCATCAAAACAAAGTCTTACCAAGATCAGTGATTGCACAATATTTTTTTTATGAGGAAGAGATGTTATTAGACATTAAGAAAAAAAACAAAATTTTATCATTCCCAATCAATAGTAGTAGAAGCACGTCTTCATAAACAGAATTTTCGAGTACTCTTTCCATAGCTGTCCATAAAAGATAGAAGACTAAGTTTACCTTCATGTCCTTTGCCTCGACATGCTGCACAAAAATAAGTGTGTCGTTAAAATGACCTGCCAATCAAAACTGACACTCAAATTTCCCACCAGCTTTGTCATCCCAGCCCAAGCCTCACAATAGTCCTTAATCATCCTGAGAAGCACTGTAAACTCTGTTCCCCAATATATTAACTTCACACTTCCTTCATATCCAAACCATTTCAACATCCATTTGATGGCACGGGTCCCTGAACACCCTTGTATTTCACTGTGGTGTAGGAGCTGTAGAGCAGTGATTGTCCCACACAGCGAGGCTCCCAGTCAGACCAGGGGTTTCAGTGACTCTTAGCCTTATTTTCTGACCTATGAGATGGAGAAGCTGGATTGGGGTTGAGCCATAAACAGAGGAGGATGATGAGGTGGCAGACGTGCAGAGACAGAGAGCTGTAGTTGGTGGATGGATACGTGTTCCAGGACAGCTCTATCAGACCCAAAATCAACACTCTACAAGAGAAGATATGAAAACTCACACTTTTGCTGATCAACAGAGTTTACTTTATGTTAGTCATATTTTAACATCCTTCAGAAATATTTCAGAACAAGAAAACAAAACTAGCAAAAATAAAGTTTACAGATTGATTTTTAGAGTTTCATTTAATCTTTAGTAACTATTCTGTTAAATATATATAGTTATGATTTTAGCATTTGTTGTGCATGCATGTTTAGCATATCATCAACATCACTATTTTCGAGAAATCATTTTCCAGGAGATTTTTGAAGGTAATTCATGGCTAGTTTAACCGCAAATATAATTGCTACTGCCACAGTCTTATTACCAAATTATTAGAGGGTATATGCAGTAATCCTAAAGGTAATTTCAATACCTTTTTAAGACTTTTTAAAGACCTTTAATTTTACTTTAAGACCTCATCGCCACGTTCTAAACAGTATCAAACCTTTAACCTAATAAACAATTGTTTAAAAGCAGTTGTAGTTAAATAAATCAATGGAGCACAACTATACAACAGAACTCAGATAAGCTTTAAAGAAACAAAGCTTAAAATAATAATTGTTTTTAATTAAAAAATAATTGTTTTCAGTGAACACTTTGGAAAACGCTCGAACAAAATTTAAGGCCTCGTAAAACGGGACCCTGCGGACACCCTGTATTTCAAAATGTATTTATTTGATATTAATTTAAATAAATTTAATTCAGGATTAAGTATTTAACTAACTAACTAGCTCAGCTGTGATCATATTTAGGGTTATAAATAGCAAGTTGTTTCAAAGTGAAATATTAAAACTTAAAACCTAAAAAATCCAGCACAGGAAGGATTATTTGCAGAACATTTGGCCATTTCTATTCACTTTCAGGGGTCTCATTTATAAACATGGTGAACCAGCCTGATCTCACACAGAAACTTAACTATTTTACATTTTGCCAGTTTAGTGGCTAATTTAGTCCTATGTAAATGTACAATTTTAAAAAGATACCCAACCCCGCCCCTAAACCCAACCGTGATTGTACAAAATTATTAGTATAAGATCGTATGATTTCATATGAATTAGGCACTAAATCTAAAATTTATGAACTGCTGTGAGATCGTGTTGGGTGAACACACAAAATGGGGGTGGGAATGCATTTATGTCACTTCCCACACAAAGATTGATATCTATAAAAAAAAAAATCCTGAAGAATCCACGCAGATGTAAGTAAACTCTAAATAAACATATACCTTAAATGTGGACTTAGTTTAACCACTTTAAATCATCATATGAGCCATAATCATTAACTAATAAATTACAATTTACTCTGGCTTTCAGCGTTATTAAGGTTTCTATGCAACATTTTAAAAATAAGACCACAGATCACATTCATGACTGGAAAACAACCCTGTAAATTTCCACTTTTTCCAGATAAAGTGTGGGAACTTTAATCATCTATATATCTGCATTAGACTGACTGTACACTACAGTGTTATCTAAATATTGAGATATGTTTTACCTGAGTAGGTGTGCCAGCTTCTTCACTCCTCCACTCCACAGCAGGTAGGGCAGCGTATGAAAATACCAGACATAAAACTGATAATGCAGAGATCTGCTGAAGCACATGCCAATGAAGTTAGATGTAAACAGAATAAGAACCATCTGTACAATCTGGGTTAAGGAACCGTTTATAGTCATATAAGTTCAGAATAAAATCAGAAGAATTGAATATTTATACATGCCTGAAATATACAGTAGTCAACATTTGAAGTGGAAACAAAGTGTTTTCCCAAAAGTGTTTTCCCAAAAACTATTTAACACCCATTGTTTTCTCAGGACAATTTTGGAAAATTGTTTGATCCACTTCAAATGTTGACTGCTGGATGTATGTATAAAAGACTTTAAACCAATTTGATTTTAACTACCACAGAAAGGATATGATCGGCATTAACTTTATGTGCAGTCTCCTTTCTCTCAGATGGATCTTTTAGTATAGTCCAAATACTGCTCCCAGACCTGTAAAAACACATTAAAAAATGACAAAGGTCAGTAAAATATAAACATTATATTTTCAGAACTATAATTTAACAAAAAGCTCTACCCCCCACCCCCACTCCCCAATTAAAAAAAATTGCCCAGCCCTAAGCATAGCACAAAATTGAGGTTTAGTTTGATAGTAGTACCTTTTCCATCTCTTCAGAGCGAACAGAAGCAGTGTAGTAATGTGAGCCAAAAGCAAAGCCAAGTGAAAGTATCGATTCAAGAACACATCCTCAGGAAGAAAGCGCCAGTTCACAGTCCACTTAAACAGAAACTGCCGGCCCAGGTCAAAGGCCCGGCTGACATACCCAACAGGGTTCACTAAAAGGAACGGCAGTCCCAAAACCAGCTGTTCAAAAAGAGAAAAATAAATGCTAGATAAAAAAAGAAAAGAAAAAAAAATATGACAGTTCAATCTCTTCATAATAGAGTAAATATGTGGGTCTTACCTGAATGACAGCACAGAGAGCGAGTCTGGGTAAAGTTTTCCACAGACCAAACTCACACAGCAGGAGGAAGAGGAGACCAGGAGCGAAAAGCAGAACATTCATCTTCACAGACACAGCTAAACTGTCCACAGCACAGAGAAACGCTTATTTTAAATACACAAACTTGATTGTAGCAATAATACATGTGAATCTCGACCACAAAATTAGTCATAAGGGTTTTAGAATAGAATATTTTGCCAAGAGACAACAATTTGGAAATCTGGAATCCAAGTATTGGCTGAAAGAATGAACGAATAAATTAATGAATATCTATGAAAGATGAGATCAATCTCTACGAATGCACATTACAAATAAAAAAATTAAATGTTTTGATATGTTCACAGCAGGAAATTTACATGGAACACAAACTTTATATTACTCTAAGCATTTTAATAAGCATAAATTTTGCACCAAAAACCAGGTCTCGCTTCACATACATTCAATTGTATATATCGTTATATTAATCATATTTTAGTGCAATTATCTTGTGGTTACTGTTTTTATTAATCCTACATTTCTTATTGTTGCTGGTTTCTGAGAGCTACCAAGCTCATTTTAGTTCTACTACAGTGACAATAAAGCCTTTTTACTTCACTTTAAAAAGAACAAACAAACATTTTGACCCACACTGTTGGCAAAAATACACCCATGCAATGCAAGGCTGGTGTTGTGGTCCAAGGACATTCATTGAGTTTCCTTCAGCACAAGCCTGGTTTATACTTCTGCGTCAAGTGACCGGCGCAACCCACGGCGCATGCTACACCCGTAGTTGGTCTGCATTAACACTTCCGAAACGCTAGTTGGCAGTGAGGTTTAAATGTTGAGTCGAGTTTCTTCGCTGCTGTTTGCTTTTCCTGAACACTTCCTGGATGTACAAGTGGCTCAAACTCGCCCATTTTGAGGCAGGAACCGGCGAACGTGCAAGAACTTTAACTATGAGGTAAACACAAAACAAAACTTTCTATCCGGAGCTCCTTCACGGCACTCCACACTTGTAAACAATCGCTCCATTGGGCTAGTGCCGCTCGCGCGGCTCTCGGTCCCGCCCAGACTTGTCAGCGCTACCAAGCCGACCAATCACAGAGCTTGTGCTACGCGTTGCTGTGACGTGTAGTTAGATTTTTTGAGAGGTGCACGTCAGTGACGCCAATGGCCACGGCGAAGGGCTATGCGTCAACGCCGTAGCATACGCCGGCTTTGACGCAGAAGTATAAATCAGCCTTAAGTCTCCATTTCAGAGGTCTCACAGTGAAATGAACCCCCAACTATTCCAGCATACGTTTTACACAGCGGATGCCCTTCCAGTCGCAACCCAGTACTGGGAAACATACAAATTCACACTCATACACTACGGACAATTTAGTTTATTCAATTCATTTGTAGCGCATGTCTTTGGGCTGTAGGAAAACTGAAGCACAAGGAGAACATGCAAAGTTCACAGAGAAATGCCAACTGTGAGGCGACAGTGCTAACCACTGAGCCACCACGCCACCCAATGCAAGGTCAAATAACAAAAAGATAATAAAAATATTACACACAATTTTAATTTGTAATATAGGAGACAAAAAATAGGAATTATGTTCTGTAGTTTTAAAGTGAGGCTTCAAGTCATTGTAATCTGAAGCCTTTGTGATTAACATGAAAGGCAGTGAAACACAAACGAATTCTCATATTCGGCAACATGGTGTACATTATACACCCATTAATCTTTAGTAAATAAAGATGTTATTCGTGCTTGCCTGTAAAGAGCACATCCTAGAGTCCAGCGGCCGTCCAGAAAGAGATTGATGGCCCCAAAACACAGCATCATGGCCACCGGATCATTGAAGAGACGCAAGATGAAGATGGAGTGAATGCGATATGAAGCACAGCAGATGAAGAAAAACACATATGGAGGAACCTTCAGGAAAAAACACACGAGCACTATATTAATATCATACATTTGGAAACATGAAGGCAACCTGATAAATATACAAGACCATAAAATGTATTTATCAATTAAAGCAGCTATTTATTTATAAATTAAAGTTGTTGATTTCTGCAAATAGAGGTTATAGAATTAATGCTGATCACAAAATTATTGCAGAATAAATGCAATAAACGTTTATTTAAATATAATTAAGAATAGACTAAATGCACACTGACTGTGCTACATAGATTATGCAGTACCTGCTTATGATCAAACAGAATTATTGCCATATATTTTCGTTTTAGAGTTCAGTTCATTTTAAAAAGCAACTTTTAACAAAGCGGACTTTACAAATTCAGAGTCAAATATTATTTTTTTTTATTCTTTTGTAATAAATTAAATGTCATAAATACTGTAAAAATAGTTTAATCAATTTTAAACAACTAAAGACACAATTTCAGAACAAATATATTAATTTCTTTTAAAACAGGAATTAAAATGATTGCAAACTTTTCAATGCTAGTGCGCATACTTTAAATTCTCTGAAAATGTTCATGCTATTCTGGGATAAAAACAATTATGACTGAAAAAAAAAAGATGTAAAATGCATGCATTTGTGTAATTTTGGGTTCTTGCCTTTTTGGTGCGATGGTAAATGCGCATCACGAGCAGGAGATTGATGAGGTAGAACACAGCAAACACATACTGACCCAAACGAATGTTATGCCCATGATCAGTGAGATAATACAGTCCTGTGAAGATATATACAAAACCAGCTGGATACCTAAAACACACACACACACACACACACACACACACACACACACACACACACACACACACACACACACACACACACACACACACACACACACACACACACAGAGTCTATTTATTTACTATTTATTTATTTACTTGTGCAAACTCATATTTATTCTTTTTTTATTTCAGTAATATTGACTAAAATGAAAACGTTCACATGATTTATTTACAATACAGTTTGTAAAGTAATACTTTTTGTCTTTTAGCAGAAGATATATGAGACTTGCTTTGTTTACTAAATAAGTGGATCTAATTGGATTTGCATTGTAAACATTACATAAAGGTCAAAAGGTATTCGTTTTAAATTTCATATATTAAGCTTTTAGTTACAATATTTCAAAATCATTCTGCACAGATCCGCACATTTTTTACAAAATTCTGTGCAGAAATAGCAAAATCTCCAAAGATTCAGTCTGGCCCAAGGTATTATGTGGACGTTAAAAAGATGTGCATTTTTCAGAGACTTTTGATTTACAAACTGCTGTGTGGAAATGATATAACAAAATGCTAAAACTCTTTGTGGTACAAACCAATGTGATTTAGACAATTTATTTAAATTATATGGTAAAATAATACAAACTTTGCAGTAATATGTAGCACAAAAGGCTGCTTTGTACATCTGATAATAACTGAATGGCATGGATGACACCAAATGTCCCAAAGTGATTTCATAAACATAGAAAGCATACTGAAGAAAAGTTTCAAATAACTTTTGTCAATTTAAAATGTAGAAATATGGGTTAATCATTAGAGATCAGCACATTTCATACACAATGGTAGTTAAAAGTAATTTACATAAACAAAAAGCATTGTAAAACAATCACTAAATAAGTATAAGAAATAAAAACAACATAGAATTAAAATTATTAAAAACAGATGTATTAAAACTGTATTCAAACGGAATGTTTTTAATGAAATACCCACAGCTTTAACTATAAAACACAAATGAATCAGTAATCATATTTTTGCTGCATTTTAAACTGTTATAAATGTTTGGGTTTTTACAAATGGGTGAAACCTGTTTAGAGAATAGTGGTTGCTAAGTATAAAATAAAATGTAGAATTAATTAGTATTATTTGGTTAGTATACTGTGATTTTATTGTCTTATAAGGTCACGCCATGATTCTTGTTCTTAATATAAGACTTTTGTTTGATACTACACTGAACGACATTTTAACAATTGTCTTATCCTAGTTTACAAATAATAATTAAATGAAGAGGACAGATTCTAATGATGCACAGAAAAACAAAATAATGTTTTGTTTATTATTGTTTTTGTTTATGAACCACATGCACATTTTCATTTACACTTACACCAGGGGTCCCGTGTCGCCCTTCAGTTGTGTGTAATCATATGTGCCATTAATAACTCCCTCCACTTCATCCATGTACGCCTTCCAGTCGATTTCTGTATCTACAAATACAACATTAACATAATTAATTAGAAACAGACGAGCACTTACACATGCATAGTAAATTTGGCGTGCAGTGATGCTTTTATGTTGTCATTTAAGTCTCTACGGTGCGCGTGACAGACAGTGACATGAGCAAATTGTGCACGTGCTCCATAGCAGAAGTGTGGTTTCAGAGGACTAAATAATACACAACATTGAGGTTGGTTTTATATTCGCACACTCCATTCAGCGACAAGATCCCTATATTGTTTAACCCTGTACTTTGAATACTCGGTCTGAAATCGCAAGTTAGATTGACTTCAAAACAACATTAGCGCTATTTAGTTGACCGTGTACAACTTTGTTAGCATTGATTGCTAATTAGATTTCCCTATTTATATTTTGCAAAGAACACTTATTTGAGAGTATTACTAAGGAGAAAGTCGAAATTTGAAAATATAAACCAACTCAACCTCAATATACTCAACAACAAATCAGTAACAATTAATTTATAAAATGTACGTACTGTAACTACATACACATGCATTGGTAGTTTCACATTAAGACGGTAACTATATCAATGCCCTGCTTTCCTTAGTCAGCAGTTCCATTAATGCTTAATTATAATAATTAATTTACTTATTAAAGACTGATGTCTAACTGCACTTACATGAAACTTTCTGGATCACCCATATGTTGATCGCAATTTCCAAGAACCAAAGGACGGCAGTGACCAGCAGCGTGTACTCGGGTTTAAACAACACCATATGCTTGTCCTGCCATATGGAGGACAGTGTTTTTTGAAATCTTGACGGTGCCGTAGAGGATTTCTTCTTTCCTCCTGCCATGTTGGCCGCCTTCGAGAAGTCAGCGACAAACGGGAACTCGCTGAATTTGGAAACACTGAGTTACAAATTAAAAGTCCCTTTTTCTTCGTTTTGTGACGGTTTGCATTTATGACTTTTCAGGTTCATACCGCCATCTATCGGAGTATGCAGGATGGACCATGTTTAATCAGGAGTGCCCAAACTTTTTCGTATGAAGGGCCAAAAACCAAATATCATTGGGGGCCAAAGATAAATATACAAAAACTATTTTGCATTAAAAAAGCCATTTCATAATTTACTTTATAATATTAAAAAATAAAAAAATTACTTTGAATCATATTACTAATGCAGTATAACTATTGACTAATTTTGCATTAGATTTTTTGCAATAAAATAATTAAACTTATAACACAGTAGTGTTCAATGCTAAATACACTAGTCAAGCAGAATCTTTCTTTGCCTTGATTCACTCACCAAAGTCTCTACATTGTCCTCGATCTGTCGTATGTACATTTTAAAATAAATCGGATTAATTTACACCATTTACATTGAAACATTTCATTTCAGATAGCTTTAAAATCAAATAAACAAATATAAGGTTACATTAAATTTGAAATGATAATATCGAAACCATTTTCAGATGGTATGGGGGGCCAACGCAAAGGTTACCACAGGATCTCTGCAATATACAGGTTAAAATTATTAATTCATGTAAAGTCTCTAGAAAATAGAGTTACATTTTTATCCAGCTTCTACATTGAAATAGTAATGTTTATTATTATTTTATTATTCATTCATTCATTTTCTTTTCGGCTTAGTCTCTTTATTATTTTGGGATCACCACAGCGGAATGAACCGCCAATTTAACCAAAGCATGTTTTACGTAGCAGACGCCTTTCCAGCTGCAACCCATCCCTGGAAAACATCCATGCACACTCAATCATAAGTTGGGGGTTCATTCTGCTGTGGCGACCCCAGATTAATAAAGGGATTGAAAAGTAAATGAATGAAATGACAACATACATATGCTGACACATACTGTGTCTGTCAAAGATACATCACAGAAAGAGAAATATTAAGGAACACAATTAGGAAACATAATTGACATTAAAGAAATACACGATGGTCAGAATAATGACAGTTTAATAACCTGCGCGAAGAACACTGGTTTATTTAACAGTAAAAATTGTTGGTTTTTTGATGAACATTAGTTGACTCAGATCCACACTCCAGGACAATGGGTGGCGATAATTCACTTTTTCGTTAGATGGTGACCTCCATTAAAAACAAAGAAGAGGTCCTTTGAGCCACGTGACCCAAACAACATCGCGTTTACAAATGTGTCCGATGATTAAAGGTAAACTTTTTAATACTATGTTTATTTCTGTTGTTTCAGGGAGAACTTTAATAGTTTTATGTGCATGCATTTGTTTAATGTGTTAATCATTAGGTTTAAGCCTTTAAAGGTCATTTATCGGTCAAATACTTTATTTTGACAGCCTCGAACGTTATATCGTTAACACTTATATTAAAATTCATAGTACTGGTAATATGACAGTTTTCCTTCATTCGACTATCAAAACACAAAAATGTAGTCGACTTTAATTATCTAATGTAAACGAGCACTTTGAAGCGCTTCTAATGTAAACAAACACTCTAAAACACAGAGTGACGTGGCTCATTCTCTTTTATTCTTGCTCTGTCTGTCATCTGTCAGAAAGTGAAAGGCGACCTAGCAGTTGCTCAAAACTATAAATAACAGCTTAGCAAAACCTTCTGGTCCAGTAAACTTTGACCTCAGTCTTCAGACCTTTTAAAGGCCCCTTGAAATTAAAATATATATTTTTAGATGTTATTAAGAGTATTGTTCTTTTTAAGTATATCTATAAGCTAGTGTGCTCTAAAACAGTGGGTGTTTATGTCAGTTGTATATATTTTAAAAGTTGTAATTTCACTTCCACCTAAAGGGATCGACGATTTTGTTTCACGTCACCTCGTACTTCAGTTTATCATCAAATCTTGAACAATTGCAAACGTTTTTCCTTACTAATAAGGTAAAGGATATATATTTTAAATTATTACATAACATTTACCCTGTCAAAAACTTGTTAAAGTAAAGATTTGGATTAGACTGATACAAATTGCTCTTTTTGTCAGAACACTGAACCTCTTCCTCATTTATTTTTTTATTTTGGTCATGCAACCATGTGTTCCGATTTTGAAAGGTTGTTAAGTTATTTATCTTAAATATTACTTCACAGAATTTTTCTGTAACCATATTCTTTTTTTGCAGATTTTATATTCTCAAATGTAAATTTTCAAATTGCTAGCCAGTATTTATACAAGAGATTAAAAATTACTTACAATTTCAGATTCACTTAACAAGAAAACGCTCAAAACATATTCAATCTTTGCTAGACCTTTAATATGTATAATCTATTAAATCTCTAAATTGCTGTTATCCTATTATTTTGCCCTCTTCACTCTCATCTCTTTCTCTATTATATATCTATCCTTAGATCAGATGACCTATTGATATCTCTTTAATTTTTGTTGGATTTCTATGATTTTCCGTTATTTTTCTCCTGTTTTTCATAGTTTATTGGCACCATTGTAAATAATCTGATTATTATTGTAAATTATATGTACCAAATTTATCTTTCTGTTATACAATATTGTTAAAAAAAAAAAATCTTGACCAATCAAATGCTCTCGACTATCTGATACGTATTTTCATTTGATACCCTTGAGCTCAACCAGCTCTTACTGACAGATGTGAGAAAAACAAAATGCTATTGGCTTTTCTTTTAAAAGGGGAGGATCTACTCTATGTTCCACCCTCTCTTCATGTTTCAGTTGCGACAACATCGAACATCGAATAAAAAGAACTTCACTGGACCTTTAACTGTTGCTAATAGCTTAGAACTTGTTAGTTTGCTAATATAAATAATTTGTAGAGTAATTACAATTAAGATAGTTTAACCTTGCAAAATGTTATGTCATCTTTGACATGATTTAATTACAATACTTACAAATCCTCATTTGTGCTGTCTTACACTTTCATCCATCCTTCTTGCTAATTCTGGTTGTACACGGTTTTCGATAGTCTAGAGAAGAGGGCGACGTGGAAGATGGAGGATTTTCCAGTCCTGGAGATGGTGTGCTTGGGTTCAAGCGTGGCTCTCTCCGGTCTATTTTATTACATCTACAGAAAGAAACGCAAAACTGTGGACAAGCTTAAAGTAAGTTGCGACGCAAAAATGACATCATATAAGTTATTACATGAAGTATTGTTTATACATTAGTTCCCAATAAAGTAATGGATTTGTTTTTGATGTCAGGAAGCTCCAGTAATGGCACTGGATGCGAAGTTAATCGACCTTTTGAATGCCACACCAGGGAAATGTCTGCAATATGTGGTCGTTGAGGGTAACCTTCATTTTCATAAAGTGTCTCAGCTGATTTGTTTAATAGTTTTTTTCTTTCACTTCCACTGATTTACTTTCATTCTTACCCTGTAGGTACAGTTCAGCCTGTAGGGGAACCACTGAGGAGTCAGTTTCAGGAAAGCAGCGTTGGTGTCATCCAGAAACTGGTCCTCAGAGAACACAAACTGGTCTGGAATAGTTTGGGGAGAATCTGGTAAGATCTGATTTCATGCCTGTAGAAAAACATTGCATTTCAAATGAGTTCAGGAAGAGCTGTTATTTAATGTTATAAAGAAATTGGCACCTTTAATAAGTAAGCATGCATAGGATTGACCAAAAGTGACTGTAAAGACACTTGTCTCATCACAAAAGATTTTCATTCTAAAAAAAAAATGTTGCAATTCTGCATGTTACCATCTTGAAACAGCTTTAAAAGTATTACGCAGCACAACTGTTTTCATTAGTGATTATTAGAAATGTTTCTTGAGCAAAATATCATTGTATTAGGGTGTATTTACACTAGGCATGGTTGTCTTGAACCGTGCCCAGGCACGATTGTCCCCCCTCCCCTCTCCCTCGAAGGCCTGCACTCACATTGCATTTTTTGCCTTCCGAGCCTGAGCACGCTTGCGTCATCGATGATGTGACTGTTCAGTTTACCAAAAGAGAAGCGCTCTCACTCCATACAGTGAAGATTGCTTTAGTTATATTGTTTTCGATTATTTAAAGTTGTTTGATATGCAGTGACACAGTCAAATCTTTGGCTAAAGAGATCCACCGTGTTTGATGCTCATAAATGTTCATGAAAGTCATCGTGCTGCAGGTATTAGGAGGTTTGCTGAAGGTGCAGCTGACGTGCAGCGGGGGGTTTGCATCTGCTATGACAGTACGTATTAATTGAAAATTAGAAAATTAAGCTTAATTAATAAATTCATATGAATCAGTCCCTTAAAAGTGATGTCAGGTCTCGCTTTGCACTCACACTACAAGCACACTGTGCCAAAGCCCAACTGAACCGCACTTTGGCACCCCTCTTCCAACTGAACCATGCCTGGGCCTGATTTGGACCACTAACACTTGTCAAACAAACTGGAAAACGGGTCAAACTTGCCTGGCACAGTTCGGATAACTTAGTGTGAGTACTCTCTTAGAATGATATCTAAGGGCTTATGTGATACTAAAGGTAAATTCACTGTATTTTGATTTTAAAAAATGCAACCTTAGCGAACATTAAAAAAAGATTTTAAATACAAATAAAAATACTATTGACTTTTAAATATAAATATATATTTATAATTAAGAGACCACAAAAATTTTTTGAAAAATTAGGTATGGTTTAATTAGTTTCGCTTTATAAATGTTGAATATTTAAAATATTGCAATCAAATTTTTTTTTTATTATTGATTTTTATTTCTTCCAGAATATTACAGTTAGTCAGAATAATATTGTTTTATTTTATGTGATTTGAAATTCAGGGTTATTTTATAAAAATTTTTCTCAATGATCTCAAGTTTGAACTTTATTATGTTTGGTATTGTGCCATCAAAAATAAATATATAAATGACTAAAAACACGATATCTTTTTTTAGTATTTTGACCAATTGTCATGTTATGCTTTTCTATTTAAATTATATTATAATTTTTACATAACTGTATGAGGGCTGAATGATTAATCATGATTTGAAACGTTGCGGTTAGCTAATCACAAAAGCTGCAGTATGAATTTGATTTAAATTTATACAAATATATATACATGTGGCATCAACCATTTTCTACATTTAGTTCCTAAAGGTCCCATGAAGTGCTTTGAAGTGCATTTTTGTATGATATGGAGCAATTTCAACTTGAAACATGAAGACAGGGTAGAACATATAGTAGATCCGTATTAAAAAAACAGCCAATAGCCTTTCATATTTATCACGGCTCTGCATTGAGTGCTTAAGCTCAAACACATCAAATAAGAAGCATCTTGAAGGGGGCGGGACATCTCGGATACTAGAGAGCACTTGATTGGTCAAGTGTGATACTTGATCGATTTAGCCAGACGCAAACTACAAACTTTGAATATTTCCCTAGTAGCAAAGAATTCTGGCCCAGATTTGGCATAAAGCTGGAACAGCAGGCATTCATCCTGCACTGGCATACAGCAATCAGGTCACTTTGAGAAAAAGCATGCCCATAGTGTGCCTAAAGCGCAACGCTTCATGGGTTTATCAATTTCAGTGCAATCATGACACACCTATCTGGCCCAGTTATGAGTTATTAACTTGGCTGAGACTTGGCCCAGAAATGGTCCGTGTTTGGCCCTTGTCTGGAAGCCAGATTTAGTCCAGTCATTACATGTACTGTAATGTGGGCCAAGCAAAAACTGATTGTGTGGGCCAGAGCTGGGCCAGAGAAATTTTGCTATGTGGGTTATATATTCTTAACAAAAATGTTGTCACTGTTTTGAAGCGCACACGTTTAGATATCCTTAATACTAACATACTGATACTACCATCTAATTAAAAACGTCATTTTAATTTCACTGGGACCTATAAAGCATCGTTTTGCTTATATTTAAAGTTTTACAAAATTAAAGCGCAAATCAAATTGCAATATCTGGTCGAAAAGCCAGATATTTCTAATAACCTATTTCTAAAAACTGATTTCTTTTATCTTTGCAAAGATGACAGTACATCATATTTTACTATATATATAAATATATATATATATATATATATATATATATATATATATATATATATATATATATATATATATATATATATATTCAAGATTCTAGTATTCAGCTTAAAGTGACATTTAAAGACATAACTAGGTTTATAACAATGGTTTGATCTGTAGAATATTAAATATATATATATTGCTTAAGGGGGCTAATAATATTGACCTTAAAATGCTTTTAAAAAAATTTAAAAAGTGCTTTTATTCTAGCCAAAATAAAACAAAAAAGACTTTCGCCAGAAGAAAAAATATTATAAGACACACTGTGAAAAATTCCTTGCTCTGTTAAACATCCTTTGGGAAATATCTGAAAAAGGAGGGCGAATAATTTTGACTTCTACTGTATGTGCATGAATGTCAATCTAAATTTCTCACAACACACTATTCTCTCTCACATTCTTCAGGACAGACAGTGAGCGTGTGCTGCTTCAGCGGGTCAATGCCGTTCCCTTTAACCTCCTGGGTTTGAACAAGTCATTTGTGCGAGTGCTCTGCCCATTGGAGGCCACGGGTCCCAAAATGGAGATCGTCCATGAAAAGTTCCACCAGGCCACTTACGGATTCACAGACCTAATAGGCCAGTACCTGAGCGGAGAGAAACCCAAAGGTCAGCTTGAAACAGAGGAGATGCTAAAAGTGGGTGCGTCTTTAACCGTAGTAGGAGAGCTCATCCTAGACACGGATCGACTCCTTAAAATCCGTCCGCCCACCGATGGTTCGGAGTACTTCCTGAGCAGTGCAGACTTCGAGACATTGCTGATGGAGCAGGAAGGACAGGCGGAGGTATGGAGAGTGTTTGCGTGTATTTGTGCATTAGCAGGCGTAGCAGTGCTGATTTGGACGGGACGCAGGTATTACAGGCAACTAAAACTGCGCTGGGAGCAGGAGAACTTGAGGAGGGAGTTTGAAGGGATGGGTACGGGAGAGAGAGAGGAGGACAACGGTGTGGAAAACGCCTGCGTCATTTGCCTGAGTAACCCGAGAGGGTGTGTTCTGCTGGACTGCGGACACGTGTGCTGCTGTTTCCGCTGCTATCAGGCTTTACCGCAGCCGTTCTGTCCCATCTGCAGACAGCACATCAAACGAGTCGTGCCTTTATATCAGGCCTAAAAAGACTGATAACGCATTTAGTTTTTCATCTGAGGCTGTCAAAAACTCAAGGTGGTTTAATGTTAAATAAATGGACAGCTGTATGGAGTTTACATGATTTACTGTTAGAAGGAGCCTTAATCTTATACTGTGAACAGGACACTTGCAAAGGAAATTTCTGTATAAAATATGAAATATACAGATATTAACTATGGGAAAATATAAACTCTGGGATATTTACTATCAATATCAGCTATGGGTAAAAAAGACCACTTTTCTCAGATTCTCTGGTTTTCTTAAGTATGAATTTGAGTCAAATGTTAATATGTGTTTTATTCTGTAGTGATCTTATATAGTGAACATTTCTTTATTCATTCATTTTCTTGTCGGCTTAGTCCCTTTATTAATCCGGGGTCGCAACAGCGGAATGAACCGCCAACTTATCCAGCAAGTTTTTACGCAGCGGATGCCCTTCCAGCTGCAACCCATCTCTGGGAAACATTCACACACACACTCATACACTACGATCAATTTAGCCTACCCAATTCACCTGTACCGCATGTCTTTGGACTGTGGGGGAAACCGGAGCACCCGGAGGAAACCCACGCGAAGGCAGGGAGAACATGCAAACTCCACACAGAAACACCAACTGAGCCAAGGTTCGAACCAGCGACCCAGTGACCTTCTTGCTGTTTGGCGACAGCACTACCTACTGCGCCACTGCCTCGCCAACATTTCTTTAACATTTCTTTAACATTTCAAATAAAATATTGTTACAATAAGTGAGTTATTCAGAATAACAAATTAAGGGCTCTATTTTGATGATCCATGCGCAAAGCGCAGGGCGCAAACACATTAAGGCCGTGTCTGAATCCACTTTTGCTATTTTAAGGACGAAAAAAATCCGCTTTGCGCTGTGGCGCATGGTCTAACAGGGTTGAGTTTATTTTCTTAATGAGTTATAGGTGTGTTTTGAGAATAAACCAATCAGAGTCTCATCTCCCATTCCCTTTAAAATTTAGTTGCGTCGCGCCAAGGCGCATTTGCTATTTACATGGTGGACTTTGTAAGTGGAAAAACTGAACGCTTCATTCGAGAGAAAACAGTTAAACAGAGCATCTGCAGCGCGAGAATGAGAGAATGAGCCTCCTCATTATTTACTTTTACTTTAACTCTCGTGGATAGGGAAACGCACAGACATCTATTAGCCTATACATAATTCATTTTGTTTGTTAAGCACAAAGATTTGTTTCAAAACTATTTCTAAATTCAGTTCTAATTTCCAGAAAACTAATAAATGAACAACAATAATGAAGTGTGATAAAAAAAAACACACAAGTTATAGTCTAATACACATGCTGTGCCTCCTGACAGGTGTTTAAATCTAAGCTTGTTTTTAATAAAACAAATATAAATATGCATATAATAAACAATACTGCTGATAGTAATACCAGTATACAAAAGCAAATTGTCATGAATAAACTGAAAAAGCCCCTGAGATGATATTTATGTAGGCTAGAAAATATTAATTTTTGTAATATTTTAGTCCTTTAATTCTTTTTCATATGTAAAGATATTTGCGTATTGCTGTACACCCTGTGTGTTTTAAGCAATGTGTAAGCGTGGCGACAGCTAACGCGCTCTGCACTGGACTATAGACCCGATTTGATCTGGTCTATTGAAAAGTATTTAAGTTACTCAAAATAGCAACGCGCCAGCAATGCGCCTTAACACGCCTCCTTTTTTAGACCAGAACGCCTATGGGCGTACATATGAGCTCAAATGCGAAATCGTATCACATGACTGTATGCGACCATTAGAAGATTAAAACATGACCTCAATGGTCAGAAATTTAAAATATTGACCAATCGCTTACGTTTTCAAATGTTTAATCCCGCCCCTTTTTGCAGCACCGTACAACAGAATTCTGCATGCTCAAACTCTATTGTGACCGCAGCATAAGAGTATTGAGATAGGGTTGGAACTAAACTGTATAAGGCTGCAGCCCTACAGGAACTGAGTTTGACACCCCTGTTCTAAAATGAGCTTTTGTTTGTAGGGTCAGCAATTTATCTTTAATGGCAATTAATGCGTTCTTTTTATTGCCTTTTAAAGAGAAATAGCTCAACATAAAACATAGGGGGCTGAGAATGCTCAATGCTCATTTTGGTAAAAAAAAAATTATAAATTACATAAATAAAGACAGCACTAATTGAAACATCACTAATAAAAGCTTTTGCATCTGAACTCTTTAAATGTTTTCATTTGTTGTCATTTTAAAATCAGAGTTATTCCATCAAATATTATAGTTAAAACTAAGGATGTTCCTATCAGGCTTTTTGGAGCCGATTTTGAATACTGATTCCTCATCATGGTGATCGCCTGATACAGAGCACACTGCATAAAGCACATTTTCCCTCAAAGTATGATACTAAAGTAAAGATCTCTCCTAAGAGAATAAATGAAGAATGCTGCATATAATCCCTTAAACTAGGCGCCTACAACCATTTAGTGTGGACACGTCATGGTCAGAAGCAGCTTCACGGAAAATAGATCAAATTTGGTCAGAAAATAACTATCAATGCAATTTGAAAACACTGCAATTGATGGAAGGATAATTCAACATGCCTCAAAGAAAAAAAGTCTGGAGTGCATATTTGATGCATAAGAAGTTCAAATGTATCTTCCTCTGCTTGTAAACCCGTAAACGAACACTAGTGATTGGTTCATGTGATCGGCCAGATTAGCGAGTACCAATCGAGTCATAAATTGTGATTAAAACAATTAATATTCTATTGTCTAAAATTAATATAAACATGGCACCTTTTATGCACCAAAAATCCTCTAAATTATTTTAAATTTGGAAGAAATGTTTACAGAATAAAGCAAAAGTGACATTTCATTCAAACACATTACTGTACATTGTGAATCCAGAGAAATTGAGGATTGTGAGGTTTTCATCATACGCACTTTAGTTTCAACATTTTAGTTACATTTAACACATTCTTGTGAAAACCTCTTTCTGCTGAGGAATAATAAAAGGTACTTTGCACAGTCATGATGACATATTTCTGTAGAAATTTGGAGTTTGTATCTCACAAGTCTTTATTTCCCAAAAATGTTGAGATGTTAATTTAGACTTTGTCACACTTGCTGTAGTCCAGTGTTTCTCAATCATGTTTCTGGAGGCTGACCAACACTGCGTATTGGATGTCTACATTGTGGGTCACCCATTGCAGGTCTTTCAGTCTCTACTAATGAGCTAATGATCTGAATTAGGTGTGTTTGGTCAGGAAGACATGAAAAAATGTGCAGAGCCGGTGGTTCTCTAGGAACATGGTTGAGAAGCACTGCTATAGTCTATACTTCTCAGAATTGCACATTTATACAGCATCCCGCAGTTGTAGGTTATAAATTAAGACTTTTCTTACAATGAGTTCATTGTAAATTAAAAACTATAAGAATATTGGAATAATAATAGTAAAAGAATAGAACAATTTATGCTTTGCTGTTAATTCTAAACTCATGATCAGTGGTGTAAAGTAACAAATTACAAATTCTCAAACCACTTTAATTAAGTAGTCTTTCTCAGAATTGTTATTTACTATGTAGTTTTTTAAAATGTGGACATTTACTTTCCCTTGAGTCCATGTTTAGTGCATTATTGGTACTTTTACTCCACTACTTTCCTTCAACCTGCAGTCGCTACTTTATTTTGTCCCGTCTATGGGGATTAGAAAACATCTAACCTAAAATCAACGTCTAATGATGTTACAGCTTGACGCTGTGTGGACGTTATCACTATGACATCTATCAGCTGTTGGATTTTGGTTGCCATACCTGACAAATGAATGTCAGCATTTGACGTCAATATGACGTTGGATTTGGGTCACAGTCTAACACAACCTGAAGTCAACCAAATATAAACGTCATTATTGGACGTCAAAATAATGTTGTCCTTAGACGCTGGCTAGACATTGAATTTTGGTCACCTGACGTCATGACCTAAATCTTAACCTAATATTAACGTCTTATAAAGTTGTGTGCCTGCTGGACAATAACTAAATGAACTACAGAATGTTACGTTTACACACATCCACAAGTTACATGTAAACACATCAGCATTTTACAGCGTAGAACTCACGACTCTTGAGTTCTTTTGAAAGGTCTTTTTACTCATACTTTGAGTAATATTTACAACAGATACTTTTTACTCTACTCGCGCTACATTTTTTTCAGCGTTTTTTCTCAAAATTGAATGTTATAAGCTTGCATTGCATATTTTTTTCTCAGAACTGCAGGTTTAAATTCTGCCTTTTTTTCAAGAAATGTCATAAAAAGTAATTTAATGAAATCTGACGAAATATACACACTAAAGTTGGAATTTTAACTTTATTTCTTTTATTTCATGGCAGAAATAAGCTGACTGTACTTAAGCCTAAACTGTACTTGGTTAGGGATGGACTATTAGATAATATATGCTTTGATATTTTAAGTAACATCCTGATAAACTGATTTTATTCTGCATGGAATATTTAATTCCCTTTACTAGTGTATCCTTATGTTTGGCACTTATCTGTTGGTTGGTTTTTTTTTTATTAACAAATAAAACTAATAAACTGTATTAAATACTGTACTGAATGGCTGGTATAAATAAACCTCAACTTACAAGTTAACTAATGTGATTAGGTGGTGCCTTCCTTTATAAATCACTGACAATGTTGAACTACGGATTGATTTTTCCTTTTTTCCTTTACTGAAAGCTAAATATTCTGCTTTGTTTTAGGGCTACTTTGACGTTGATCAATAAAACCTGCCGTTGGGTACTTGCTGTTCTTCTGTTCCGGCATTATTTGAAGTTTTCACATACAGATACTAAAGCATGAACACCTCAGTTGTCGGCGTGAAATTGGTGATTTATTGTGGTGTGACATGGAAAGTCATAATTCTTCTGAGACACGCGTGCTGTTTGCCAGCAAGGAGTCTTTCAAGTGTTCTTATGCAACAGCTGCTGTGATCCTGTTACACCTATCCTGTGAGTTACCAACAACTACCATTCTCGCTCCATTTTTTTAAATGAATAATTGAAAGTAAATATAAATATTACGAATAAATATTTGTAAAACAAGGAAAACTTTTTTTTTTTACCATGGCTGAGCTGGCAAACTTCTGTTGTTGTCATTTACTATTCAACCACTGGATGGCGAAGGAGGTTCAGATTTCTTGGAGGTTCCTTCTGCAAAAGAGGAAAATTGTTAGCACGAATCAATAAATGTCTTGAATTAATGCAATTAAAAAATCTTAATACACACACACAAACACAGTTGTAAACATCTGAGGTGGATCACACACAAAATCCCATGCAACAATATCCTAGAATGATCTTTAGCTTTAATAACAGTGGCTATTCATTTATATGTAGTCATTTAGCAGACACTTTTGTCAAAAGCGACTTAAAATTCTGTGATTTAACAAGAGTCAATACACACAGGTAGTGATAATTATACAAAAGTATGTTATACAAAGAAAGGCTCAAATATAACCATAACCAAAGGGAAAATATGCTATTCTATAAAGATCATTGTAGCTATGTTACTGTACAAAATAAACCTGATTATAGGATTGAAGCATCCTCGTTTATAGTTGTGTACACCATGCAGCTGGTGTTGATTCTAGCGGTTATGAATTACATAGCTCAAAATGTATTGTTTAAAATGCTATAAAAAAATACTAATGGCTAATCCCAGTTCTATTTTTGTACCCCTACCCCTTTCCCTTAGCCCTTCAAACAGACTATTAAGGGAAGGGCTTCAAAATGTACCCCTAAGAATTGGAACAGCACTAGAACACCTGCATACGACATCATATGTCATCGTGATCTCTTGCTTCTTATGAGATCAAATTATTGTGACTGCTATAGTGATTCCAGTTGTTGTTGTTGTTGTTGTTGTTGTTTTTTTTGTATTTATCTTTAGGAAATCTCTGAAGGCAACAATGTCATGTTATCATAACGATCTAATGTGGCAATAAGATTGTAACAGTGCATTTGCACAGTGGCCATATTCATCTTTCGTGTAAACACACGAAAACCACATTACCATTATACCAGACACTATAAAAGCTTATTCAGCCACTAGACTTTTCTGACGGTATTCAATGGAGTGTCAGAATGTTATGGGACTGCTGTACAGGAGTTATGATTATGGATCATAGATAGCTAAATTTAGCTGTTTTAATTTTAGCGCTTTTTTTAAGCATGACGGTAAAACAAGAATCCGGTTATGAATGTATGAAAGCATATGTTTGTCATAAAAATTTGTAGTAATTACAAAAAATACTAATTTGTGCATCTTCCGGGTGCAGCTGTGCTGCCGTTGTGGCTGGTGTATTCTGGTAAAGATTCATACCCCTTGGTTTCAAGTGTGGTCCTGAAAAATCTCGTTCGAGGGCTATCTAGCCCTTCCCTTAGCTCTACGCCTTCAAGAAAAATAGAATTGCGACACCCCAAGGGTAAGGTGAAGGGCTACGGGGTAGAATTGGGAACCTAAACTATACAGTTGAAATCAGTATTATTAGCCCCCCCTTTAAATTTAGTTTCTTTTTTAAATATTTCCCAAATGATGTTTAACATAGAAAAAAAAAAAGTTCTCAGTATGTCTGATAATATTTTTTTCTTCTGGAGAAAGTCTTATTTGTTTTATTTTGGCTAGAATAAAAGCAGTTTTGAATTTTTTTAAAATCTATTTTAAGGTCAAAATTATTAGCCCCTTTAAGCTTTTAATAGCCTACAGAACAAACCATTGTTATACAATAACTTGCCTAATTATTCTAACCTGCCTAGTTAACCTAATTAACCTAGTTAAGCCTTTAAATGTCACTTTAAGCTGTATACTAGTATCTTGAAAAACATCTAGTCAAATATTATTTACTGTCATCATGGCAAAAATAAAAAAATAATAATAATCAGTTATTAGAAATGAGTTATTAAGACTATTATGTTTAGAAATGTGTTGAACAAATCTTTTCTCTGTTAAACAAATTAAAAAACAAACAGGGGGGCTGATAATTCTGACTTCAACTGTATGTGTGATGCAGAAACCACAGTAAAACTGCTGACACATCAAGAACCACAGCAGCACAAACGCAATTCTGTCTAATGCTATGTGACATAATCACAAAAGGCCAAAAAGAACTTAACATTAAGTAGAAATATTAAAATAAATAAAACATGAACAGCGATGGAACTCCTCATGTGTCTCAGTGTGACTCCTGCAGGCTCTGAGTGCCAGCTGTTTGCCTGTGTGTGATGAAAAAACCAACCTGCTTCTTGGCGCCGCAGGCTTACACAGGCTGACTGTCTGTACCATCTTCTTACTTCAGTGTTTTTGATTAAAAGCTCCAGAGGAAAGCACGTGTGGGTGTGTGTGAAAACTGTGCAACAAATGCTCAAAGACGCTCATGAGCAGGTGCCAATTACACTGGCACTGTGTCTCCTGCACAAGCCAACATCTCACAGAAGTTCACATTGTTCTCGTGGAGGTTTGCCAAGTGAGAAGTTACGTGCGCTCATGTTTGGGATTTGAAGTTTTTCTTTGGAAACGTTTAAGCTAATCGATAGAGTTTATAAGTTAGGAGTTGGTTACATTTTTTACACAAAGAAAAACATTAGTAAAATGAGTATTCATTCATTCATTCATTTTCTTTTCGGCTTAGTCCATTTCTTAATCTGGGGTCATCACAGCGGAATGAACCGCCAACTTAGCCAGCATATGTTTTAAGCAGTGGATGCCCTTCCAGCCGCAACCCATCACTGAAAACACTCTTGCATTCACACACATACACTACAGCCAATTTAGCTTATTCAATTCACCTGGATCACATGTCTGGACTGTTGGGAAACCAGAGCAACTGGAGAACACCCACGCAAACACAGAAAGAACATGCAAACTCCACACAGAAATGCCAATGACTCGAACCAGCGACCTTCCCTACTGTGAGGCGATCGTGCTACCCACTATGCCACTGTGACGCCTCATAATTATACAGTGTTCATCATTTTATAGCATATACAGTTGAATATTTTTTAGTATACTACACTCTAAAAAATGTTGAGTTATTTAATTAAGCCAATGGTTGAGTAAAAAATGTTTGGTGCTGTGTTGGATTATTTTTAACCTTTATTTGGTTATTTATTAATAACATAAACTAGTTGGGTTAAATGTTTGGTGCTGTGTTGGGTTATTTTTAACCTTTATTTGGTTATTTATTAATAACATAAACTAGTTGGGTTAAATGTTTGGTGCTGTGTTGGGTTATTTTTAACCTTTATTTGGTTATTTATTAATAACATAAACTAGTTGGGTTAAATGTTTGGTGCTTTGTTGGGTTATTTTTAACCTTTATTTGGTTATTTATTAATAACATAAACTAGTTGAGTTAAATGTTTGGTGCTGTGTTGGGTTATTTTTAACCTTTATTTGGTTATTTATTAATAACATAAACTAGTTGGGTTAAATGTTTGGTGCTGTGTTGGGTTATTTTTAACCTTTATTTGGTTATTTATTAATAACATAAACTAGTTGAGTTAAATGTTTGGTGCTGTGTTGGATTATTTTTAACCTTTATTTGGTTATTTATTAATAACATAAACTAGTTGGGTTAAATGTTTGGTGCTGTGTTGGGTTATTTTTAACCTTTATTTGGTTATTTATTAATAACATAAACTAGTTGGGTTAAATGTTTGGTGCTGTGTTGGGTTATTTTTAACCTTTATTTGGTTATTTATTAATAACATAAACTAGTTGGGTTAAATGTTTGGTGCTTTGTTGGGTTATTTTTAACCTTTATTTGGTTATTTATTAATAACATAAACTAGTTGAGTTAAATGTTTGGTGCTGTGTTGGGTTATTTTTAACCTTTATTTGGTTATTTATTAATAACATAAACTAGTTGGGTTAAATGTTTGGTGCTGTGTTGGGTTATTTTTAACCTTTATTTGGTTATTTATTAATAACATAAACTAGTTGGGTTAAATGTTTGGTGCTGTGTTGGGTTATTTTTAACCTTTATTTGGTTATTTATTAATAACATAAACTAGTTGGGTTAAATGTTTGGTGCTTTGTTGGGTTATTTTTAACCTTTATTTGGTTATTTATTAATAACATAAACTAGTTGAGTTAAATGTTTGGTGCTGTGTTGGGTTATTTTTAACCTTTATTTGGTTATTTATTAATAACATAAACTAGTTGGGTTAAATGTTTGGTGCTGTGTTGGGTTATTTTTAACCTTTATTTGGTTATTTATTAATAACATAAACTAGTTGGGTTAAATGTTTGGTGCTTTGTTGGGTTATTTTTAACCTTTATTTGGTTATTTATTAATAACATAAACTAGTTGAGTTAAATGTTTGGTGCTTTGTTGGGTTATTTTTAACCTTTATTTGGTTATTTATTAATAACATAAACTAGTTGGGTTAAATGTTCGGTGCTTTGTTGGGTTATTTTTAACCTTTATTTGGTTATTTATTAATAACATAAACTAGTTGGGTTAAATGTTCGGTGCTTTGTTGGGTTATTTTTAACCTTTATTTGGTTATTTATTAATAACACAAACAAGTTGGGTTAAAAATTTGAATTTCAACAGTCAACTGATTCAACTGACACAGAACAGCAGTATG